GTGCCAGCAACATACAAAAGTGCCGCGCGATTAGTTTAATGAGATATCAATATATTTCACTTCTTTAGCAAGAGTCACAACTGGGCTTTTATCGTAAATTGATAGCAGTCATTTGTATATAATGTATCTATATATAATGATATCGAATATTCTAAAAATGGTTGAACAATAACAAAAGACTTTATTGCGTTTTCTGTACAATATTAAGAAAACAATTTGAAATCCTTTAATTTATACCGTATTATTGAATCAAGTAAAAAATGAATTGCTTTTTTTCTCAATGATAGAGAGTTCAGTAAATATACTATATAAGATTATTTTTTTATTGCTTAGATGGGTGGACGAGCCCACCTGGTGTTAGGTGGTTACTGGAGCCCATAGACATCTACGACGTAAATGCGCTGCCCACCTTGAGATATAAGTTTTAAGGTCTCAAGTATAGTTACAACGGCTGCCCCACCCTTCAAACCGAAACGCATTACTGCTTCACGGCAGAAAATAGGCAGGGCCGTGGTACCATGTGGACTCACAAAGGTTTTTATATATATATATTTTTTTCTTTACATTTCCCGTTTACATTTTCAGCGGTTACCGTCGCCCATGGACGTCAGCAATGCCAAGCCTCTGCCTACCGTTAAGTACTCGTAATTCCACAAACCAAAGGAATGTCAATGTCAGTTATCATTAGTTAAAAGTTGTTTTTTGAAATAAAATATTTCGGTGTTAAAATCCATCTCTGCTTTTTACCTTACCTCTTCCCTGGTAGCCTAAAATGCTATTCCAGTCCAAATTCCCATCTCTACCTTGAACACTATACAAACGCGATATTAAACCGTAAAATTGCTTTTAATTTCACATTAACTCTTCAAAGACATGCCAATCACACGTTTCAAATCGTACACATTTGATACGAACGCTGACAAAACACGCAGGGTATAATCTACTAACATTGGAACCATCCAATGATCGTGTCTCTGGTTCGACGAGGAGCAGTTATCAAGTTAATTGATGAAAGACCGTATCCATTACACCCGATAATATCGGATACACATTTTTTAATCATTTTGAGACCTTCAAACTCGTATTTCAAGGTGGGTGGCGCATCACATCGTAGATGTTTATGGGCTTCGGTAATCACTTAACACCAGGTCGGCTGTGAGCTCGTCCATCAATATAAGCAACTAGCTGTACCCGTCCGCTTCGCTGGGCATTTAAAATTAACATGATTATTTCTCACCTCCACAAATATCCTTATCATTAACGCCCCCGCAACTGGTGTAGGGAGTCCAACACTCATATAAATATTAGCCTATCCATTAAGTACATGTATTTTCTACATGGATAGTTTCAAGTCAATCTGATGCATGGTTTAGTAGTTATAACGGAACATCCGTAAAAACCACTGTAGATTTATATATTAGTATAGATAAAAAAATATTATAAAAAAATATCTGTATACTCTCGCTCACATATCTCTACATTTGGGCAAAAACAGTGGAGGAATCACGACTCCGGTCTGAAGAATAGAACGAATAGAACGAATAGAACTCACGAAAGAATCACGTGTCGTCTCAAACATTGTTAACGAGTAAGTAGCACCGTCGTGAGCTAAAACAGTAAGCCGGACGGTGAGGTACAGATACCGATCGGCTTCCGATCCGCACTATTATCGATTGTTAACGGCTATCGAGACGTAAATCGATAGCAATCAGAAAGCGGTATCGGATCGATTTCATTACAAAATTCAATCTCACAAATTATTCTTAATCGTTACGTCTCTCTCTCTTATTACTTTTGTTATTGAATGTGTTTTCGGTGACTTACGGTCGACGGAAAATTGTATTATTACTTTGTATCCATATATTAATAGGCGAAGCAAAAATTTTGTATCCCTTTTTACGAAAATGATGAAATTTTCCACACTTATATTATAACTAGCTGACCCGGCAAACATTGTTTTGCCATATATAAGATTTCTAGGGAATTTCTAGTGTAGAAAAAAAAACTAACTTATTGTAAGTGTGTAAGGATGTGGTAAATGAGTGAAAGAGGTATGTAGTGCTGTGAACGATGAGGGAATATTTAATAAAAATAACAAAACCTCATTCAGTCACATAATACCTCATTATAACAAAACAAAAAGTCCAAATAAAAAAAATATGTTAGGGGTGGACAACCCTAATCACTTAGGGGTATAAAAAATAGATAGTAGCCGATTCACAGGCTTACTGAATATGCATAAAAAATTTCATGAGAATCGGTCAAGCGGTTTCGGAGGAGTATGGGAACGAACATTGTGACACGAGAATTTTATATATTAGATTTACACAGAGAAGTAGTGCAGAATGCTATTTTTTTTTTTAAATTATTTAACACTACAAGTCCGACTGGCGGGCTTTTGTGAGTTTTCGTGAGTTCGTTGTTCCGGGCTGTTGGCGAAGATGATACAGAAATAATGTTTACACTGATTTGGTATGAGGTTTAATATAAAAAGCGACACAATGACTAACATAAAATACAAAATGAGTTGAGAATCGTACAGTTAAACTAAGACTCGCAATATTTTAATGGTCGTCGNTCCTTCTGCGAGATGGTGCACTCGCAGAAGTCGAGCATAGCCTTCCATGACTCATCGCTGCCAAGCATCGACGCCACGACGCCAGGCAGCGACAAGTCAGGTCCTATCTTTGCGACCAGGACACGGCGCTGCACCTCCCAAGCGGGGCAGACAGCGAGCGTATGCTCCGCCGTGTCCAGGTCGTGTCCACAATGGTGACCCAAATATAGTCTTAGGTTAATTTTTAAGTCAAATTGAGAATATATTCATATTGTTTGTCTATAGTGTAGCCTTGGCAAAATCTGTGATTATAGAAGTATGGACTATACTTGACAATAGACCCTTTATAATGTTCAAACTTATAATTGAAATTAATTATGGTCGCATTAATTAATTTCGACCACTAATTAATTTCAATATTAGTCTTTAATCTTTTAGCAACATGTTATTTGCTATTTTAAAGCACCGTTTAGAAGTGCGCAATATTTCATTTTGGTTGGCTGACGACCGTACGTGCTCTGTGTGTGGGATAATATTACCTCATTTTTACCAGAAAGTAGTAACGTGACGCCCCATTTTGAAGGGCAACACGGAAATTAATAAAATACAATTATAACAACGAACTTATCAACTCACATTGACCAAAGACCAATCACATTATGATTTCCATCAGTAACATTGTATCTCGTATCGGCTTAACAACAGACGAGCCGTAAGCTCGCCTGCTCGTTGGCCTCTAACCAACGGCCATCTATAAGCGTGTCGTGAAAATGTCATCATCAATTCTAAAAGTTTTTCAATGAGCCATTTTCATACAATTTCCTCTTGAGTTTTATTGCGAAAGTTTTTAAGAGATTTCAAAGATTCATAAAAGTTTAATTTGTCAGGAATCATAATATGGATTCCAACACACCGTAACCTTTACTAAAACAACAATATTATCTTTCATTTTTGACATGTTTTTTACTTCTAAGTCACACCTTACAGAGTCGGCGAAGGATTGTTTTCGGAATCATATGCGGGGAATTGTGCAACTTTTCTGAGGAGCATCGACGTATTATAAGGCAATGATACTTCTGGCTGCTTATAATAATAATAATAACTGGGAACAAAACAAGCACGGTCATCACAGGACCCACGGACCCCATATTAGGATTCCCTATATTATGGGTAACAGAGACTGATATCCGTATACGTTTATATATATATAGTTGATAAACATCCAGGCAAGAGCAAGTAAACCTGCCAATCACACAATATTTACCAGATGTGGAAATCGAATTCACGACCCTCACTCAGCGCAACTATCATAGAGCAAACTACTACTGCAGTCAATTTTGATATATGCTCGTCAAACTATAAATGGAATCAATACATTTACGAATATATTACATACGAATAAAGTTTAAAAAAAGCTACTAATCAAAAATACTAATCTTATATCTTATATATTTAAATGAGCAATTCTTGTATATAAATATGTATATAATCTGAATCTCGAAAACGGCTCTAACGATTTTCATAAAATTTAGTATACAGGGGATTTCGGAGGCGATAAATCGATGAAGCTACGATTTATTTTCAGAAAATGTTGTTTTATTCTTATTTTCAATAATCACGTTTATCAATAATTTTGATTTTTTTTCTTTAAATAACTAGTTCATATTTTTGGTTTAGTCGGTTAGATCAAAAAATATTATTCATATTTCACCATTTTATCAATATGTAATTCGTATTTAAATCTAATTTCTAAAGAACACAATTTAACAAAAAAAAAACTTGTAGTATGCTTTTAATCTAGCATTACATATGTACTGTCATTATATTAATAATTAATATTGCTGGCGTTTCAAATATTTTATAGTTTTCCTGGTCACCGAAGACTGCAATGATAAGAGTCAACATTTGAGTGTATGTTCAAACTATCGTCTAATTAGTAGTTAAATTAATAATTGTCTACAAAATATGTATGTATTAATAAATCCGCAATTAAACCGGAAAAAACTGATTCTAATTTTATTGGAACTAGAAAACTGATTCTATTTTTTACTGGTGGTAGGACCTCTTGTGAGTCCACGCGGGTGGGTACCACCACCCTGCCTATTTCTGCCGTGAAGCAGTAATGCGTTTCGGTTTGAAGGGTGGGGCAGCCGTTGTAACTATACTTGAGACCTTAGAACTTATATCTCAAGGTGGGTGGCGCATTTACGTCGTAAATGTCTATGGGCTCCAGTAACCACTTAACACCAGGTGGGCTGTGAGCTCGTCCACTAATCTAGCAATAAAAAAAAATTAAAAAATTAAGATCTACGAAGACTGAAAATATAACTATACGGATACTAATTCAGACCAGATGCCATTTCTGAACGAATTTTCAATTTTCTCTTAAAATATCCTTTAAGACACAATGCTTGAATGACAAAAAATATTATAGGCAATAACAAAGAAGAAAAATACTAAAATTTATTGCATGTAATTTGTTACATCAAAATGTTCTTCACTTCCTCTTTACCACCCCACCTTGGGGTGTGTCAACCTTTTCTGATGAAATTTCATATTGCGTGTCCAGCCTGAAGAGAGAGAGAGAGAGAGTCAAGTTTACAAAATCCAGTCCAAGCAAGACGTAACTGCTGGTAGTAGGACACTGGTGGTAGGACCTCTTGTGAGTCCGCGCGGGTAGGTACCACCACCCCGCCTATTTCCGCCGTGAAGCAGTAATGCGTTTCGGTTCGAAGGGTGGGGTAGCCGTTGTAACTATACTGAGACCTTACAACTTATATCTCAAGATGGGTGGCGCATTTACGTTGTAGATGTCTATGGGCTCCAGTAACCACTTAACATCAGGTGGGCTGTGAGCTCGTCCATCCATCTAAGCAATAAAAATAAAAAAATAAAAAAAAGTAAACGGGTAACCTGAGGGTAAGTCACTCCCTTAAAGCATTGACGTAAAAATTTATTGAAAATATATTAGACATAATATTTAGCTTTAATTATTACAGTACAATTAAAAGTGAGACCTTAGAGCTCATGTCTCAAGGTGGGTTTACGCTGTAGATGTCTATGGGCTCCGGTAACAACTTAACACCAGGTGAGCCGTGAGCTCGTCCACCCACCTAAGCAGGGACAAAAAAACGATGTTATATTAGTCATGTATTTTTGTTATAAACTAGCTGACCCGGCAAACTTCGTAGTGCCTCAATCGATAAATAAAAGACCTAAAATTTTGTATAAAATAAACTTAAAACAAACAAAAGGAATCCGGCCGACGGGAGACACATCAAAGGAAAAACTAAATTGTTATTCTTATTTAATTCCGAGCATTTTCATATTTATCTACCTTTTAAACTTTCTCTAGACTTCCACAAATAATTCAAGACCAAAATTAGCCAAATCGGTCGAGCCGTTCTCGAGTTTTAGCGAGACTAACGAACAGCAATTCATTTATATATACATATAAATATATATATAAATACGAGTATTATTAAGTAGGTAACATTCAGATATCTAAAATAAACTTATGAAGCCACCTTTTTAATATATTACACAAACGCCTTACTTTGAAACAGTAGCAATATTTTAAACAAAGTTTTATATAAATATTTTAATTAAAACAACGTCCAAACCTTGCAATTATAATTTCCAACGCTTCGAATACTGCTTACAGTTTTTATGGCCACGGATGACGGGAACATTGTTAACGCGAGATTAAACCGTAAAAGGTTTTTAATGGAATTTTTAAAAAACTATAAACAAGTTCTATACTGCCTATTTTATTCCTATAGTAATACTATATGTATTTTTTTCCTACCTATGCTGATAGCCTTGAGAGGCTATTTTAGCTTCTCCTTGACGTGTGGGTGAGCTCGCGGGGCTCAAACCGGGAATGTTGCTAGCACTGGCCCTAGCAAGAGCCGTGCTTCGCACAATCTACCACCAGATCGGAAACGCGACCCACTGAGAAGATCCGGCGAGAAACTCAGTGGGCTTGCATTTTTCTCATGTTTCCGAAAGTATTTATGACTTTTTTGCATACATTAAATGTTCAAATGACTCTCCCGGTCGTTATATACCGGGAAATCTTTCCTCAACACACGGACAGATAGTACAGACAAAATATTGTGAGGTTCAACAATAAATAAAACATATATGTATAAAATAATCGAAATTTTGGAATAAACGGACATCAAAGATAAAATTTAATCAATAGAGGCTGCCCAAAGTATAAACTAAATGAAATTATACAGGTCAAAGTCGGCATCGAACCCAGGGACAAGGGGTGATCGCCCTGTCTACCTGTGGCATTGACTTGAGAGGGAAACTTTCTGGAATTGTATTATAAATTTAAAATAAATTTTAAAATAAATGAGAGAAAAAAAACACGATAAATATTTAACAACAAGGAAAATATGGTAAGCGTTTAGTCACTGGAAAGATGTTTTTTTTGAAATGTTGCTACGCACGGATGTTCCGCAACGATCCAGACGAATCTTGTCACAAATGGCCCACTGGTGCAATTTTTTTTGTTTTACTCCTTAGGTCAGTGATTATCAAACTTATTTCTTTTAACGCTCCCTTTGAAAATCAATTACTTTTCAGCGCCCCCCATTTTTTATACACCCCTAAAACTTTAAAACCACAATTTAATTAATTTAATTAATTAATGTTGTATTAATTTTAGTAAATGTAGTACCACGTAGTACATAATTATGTATTTGTAGATGCTATTATTGTTTCTTCATATTATTATATGTCCGTACATTGCTACAGAGCGTGTATTTACAAATTTGCAAAGTAAAAATTAATTCTTCTCATCAATATATTTGTTTAAATTCAGAATCACCAAAAGAAATTGCTAGTTCACTGTACTATTACTATGCTAATTTATTAGAACGAAACTATTTTTGTTGAATGTCTTTCTCATTAATATAAGATTCTCATCATAAGATAATTAAAAATTTATATTTCGACTAGTAAATAATACTACTAACAATAATAACTTATTAAACTACGAATAAGCTAAACCCGGAAGTCGTAGAGGATTTCTTTTATCTAGGCTCCGTCACAGCTAGTAGTGGATCCTCCGAAAAGGACCTCAGAAGGCGAATCAGTATGGCAAAGAGAGCTATGTCCCAAATGACCGTGTTTGGGCGGACAGAAACATCTCGAGGAATACCAAAAAGCAGCTCGTCACCTCTCTCGTCTTTTCCATTTTTCTCTACGGCGCAGAGACTTGGACCCTCAAGAAAGCTGATCGCCAACGCATCGACGCGTTTGAGATGTGGTACTGGAGGAAAATGCTCGGGATTCGTTGGACAGAACACAGAACCAACGAATCCATTTTTACCGACCTCAAGATTCCAATGCGCCTCAGCACTACATGCGCGCGGAGAAGTTTCGAGATGTTTGAACATATCGCCAGAACGGCACGGCAAGGTATGCGGGAGAAGGCACAGAGGCAGAAATCCAATGCGCTGGTCGGACCAAATACGCTCCACTCTCAATATCTCAGTCCACGTTGCTATCCACACAGCCGAGGACAGGCAGGAATGACGCAAGATGATGCAGGAGAAAGTTATTAAAGGAGGCCACGACCCTCAGCACTGAGGATTATCGACGCAAGAAGGAAGGAAACTACGAAAAATAAATTAATATCATTTCGTATTATATTTATGGGTAATTTTTCATAGAATTTTAGTTTATAATTTAGAACTGGTTCAAATAAAAACCGCCGACTTAGGCAGCGTTTTTATTATTTGTAATAATTAATATCTGTACTAATATTATAAAGAGGAAAGATTTGTTTGTTTGTTTGTATTCAATAGGCTCCGAAACTACTAAGCCGATTTGAAAAATTATTTCACTGTTTGGAAGCTTCACTATTCCCGAGTGACATAGGCTATAATTTTTTTAAAAAAAATTAGGTATCCTTACTAAAACTCCAATAATTAAACCTAAGGTGTAAAAAAAAATTCCTAAAATATTCTTTACGTCGCGTACCTACGAAAACTATTGATGATAGAATAAAATAATGTACTACGACTTTGTAGAAAACATTATTATTTACAATAAGTGTCGCGACAGCATATGTCTAACTACTATAGCTATGCCGCAATAAGTGTTATTTTATTTTAAAAAATGCCCCTGGTAAGACACGGAGTGCCCCCCTACCTTCGCCGACTGGTGGCTTCCTACTTGGAGGACAGATCGGTCACGTGTACTGGACACGGTGGGATCGTGCACAGGCTCCCGGCCGTGCGCGATGTTCCACAGGGGTCACTTTCAGAACCTGGTCCCTCGTTTGTTGGGGGTGGCCGGCGCGTTAAGCTGGCTTCTTCCCAACATCGGGGGGCCTGACCAGGTGACGCGCCGTCTCTATACGGGGGTGGTGCGGTCAATGGCCTTATACGAGGCGCCCGCGTGGGGCCAGTCACTGGCCGTGGGGGGTAGCGAAGTTGCTGCAACGGCCGCAACGCACCATCGCGGTCAGGATCATCCGTGTTTATCGCACCATCTCTTTCGAGGCGGCTTTGTACTGGCTGGGACGCCGCCTTGGAAGGCGAGCGCCTCCGCCTCCAGGACCTATCTATCCATGGCTGATCCGTGGCGGGCTAACCTTCGTGCCCGGGGCGTGGCGCGTCCCAGTCCCAGTGTGGTCAGAGCGCGGAGGGCCCAATCTCGGCGATCCGTGCTGGAGTCATGGTGCAGGCGGCTGGCCGATCCTTCGGCTGGTCATAGGACCGTCGAGGCGATTCGCCCGGTTCTTGTGAATTGGGTGAATCGTGACAGAGGACGCCTCACTTTCCGGCTCACGCAGTTACTCACTGGGCATGGTTGCTTCGGTGAGTTCCTACACCGGATCGGAGCCGAGCCTACAGCAGAGTGCCACCATTGTGGTTGCGACTTGGACACAGCAGAGCATACGATCGTCGCCTGCCCCGCATGGGAGGGGTGGCGGCGTGTCCTCGTCGCAAAAATAGGAAACGACTTGTCGTTGCCGAGTGTTCTGGCATCGATGCTCGGTGACGA